ACCTATCTATTGCTAGGCTGTTATTGAGCTATGGGGGTGTTTAGTTCCAGAGCTGAAGGGTGATCAAGGGCCATATTCCCAGGGTTCCACCAGTTTTTGTCTGATCAGTAAGCCTGGTCTTTTTTTTTTTTTATGATTTTCAGTTGAATTTCCACATTTTCCTCATGCTATCCAGGACCGTCTAATGTGATCCCTTTTCAGAGCTGTTAGTAGTGATAGGCAGGCACTATCTGGTTCTGGTGTCAGGGTTGTGGAAACTCATGTTCACGTGCTGTGTTAGTCCATTCGACTGTTTCCAAGCGTCTTTAATTTTCATCACTCTTCTTTCCTCCAGACATGGAGAGACCAATAGTTGTAGATTAGATGGCTGCTTTTAAGATCCCAGTTGCTACTCACCAAAGTAGAATGTAAAACATTGTTTTTATGGATTATGTTATGCCAATTGATCATGCTATCCTGGAGATTATGGTCTTGAACTCCTAGGCCCAGCAATTTATTCCTTCAAGGTGTTCGTTGTTGTTGTTAAGTGCTGTCAAGTCAACTCCAGCTCATGGCGACCTGTATAGGGTTTCTGAGGAGCAGCTGGTGAGCTTGAACCGCCAGTCTTGCAGTTAAAACGGCTTTGCAGTCTGACGCGTTAACCCACAGAGTCACATCAAGGTGTTTAGTAATGTGCAAAAGACTTCTTTAAAGGTTTAAAGAACAAAGATATCTCTTTGTGGACCAAGGTAGGCCAGACCCAGGCCATGGTATTTTTAATTGTGTTACATGTATGTGAAAACTGGAAAATGAATAAGGAAGACAAGGGAAGTATTTATGCATTTGCATTATGATTTTGGTGCAGAATATTGAAAGTGTCATGAATTGCCAGAAGAACAAACCAATCTATGTTGTAACAAGTACCACCAGAATGCTCCTTAGGAGCCAAGTTGGCTAGATGTACTTTAGACATGTTATCAGGAGGGACCAGTCCCTGGAGAAGGACATTTCTGCTTGAAACAGTGGAGGGTGTAGGACAAAAAGGAAGACCCCAACGAGATGGGTTAACAACACAGTAGCTTCAACAGTGTGATTGAACATCACAACAATTGTGTGGATGACACAGGGCTGGGCAGTGTGTTGTTCTATTGTGCATGGGGTCACTATGAGCTAGAGTGGACTTGATGGCACCTACCAACATCTTTGATGTTTAGATGTGTAAAGCGATTTTGCTATCATGTGCAAAAATCAAGCAGTTAACCAGCATGAAATCCTGGTGGTGCAGTGCTTAAAGCATTTGACCGACAATGGAAAGATCAGTGATTTTGAACCTCCATAGGAAAAAGATGTGGCCGTCTGTTTCTGTAAAGATTTACAGTCTTGGAAACCCTGTGGGAGAGTTCTGTTCTTTGAATTGGAATTGACTTTATGACAGTGGGTTTTAATGAACTGCATTGTAACTGCCTGTCTCTTCAGTACCTAGTTACTGAATGTTGTGTGCTAATGCACTGAGATAGTGACCCATAGACATACCCTTGAAATGACTCCCCAAATAGAGAATGATCTCTGTGTGATTTGATTGGGGTAAATGCTGAGAATGTAAAAGGAGTGCATCTTACCAGAGGAGCCAAGGGGAGCCAGAATCCTGAATCGGAAAGCAATTAGCCAAGGTGGAGAGAAAAGTCTTCCAGACCGAGAAATGTAATGTGCACAAACCAGAGATGAGACCATCTTTTAGACGTTCCACCTAGACTGTGGTTGTGTGTGTTATTACCACCACTGTTGATATGGTTTAAATCCTGTGATTCTTAGAAGTTGAGAAGTGTCCCACTGCTCAGCCAACTTGTTAAGTATTAAGTGCTGTGGAGACATTTCTGAATCATTGCGACCCTGCATAGGGTTTCTGAGGAGCATTTGGTGGGTTTGAACAACCAACCTTGTGGTTAACAGCACAGGACTTACAGCACAGTGCCACTCGGCTAACTTACAAGATTCTTTTTCTCCCTCTTGGCTGCACCAGGTCCCAGTATCATCTGCAGGACAAAGCTAGGAGATAAACAGGTGTTATAGCAGGAATTTAATTACTGTTCTCACTTCATGAGATAGTACTATTAGCTTCATTTTTACATGTGAGGGTAAGCTCCATGGATAGTCAGTGGAGAAGGGTAAGTTGTGTAGGTGGTCTGATGGGTTTGGCTTTAAGGCCTGAGCTCTTAACCACTCCTCTGTGCTGGGAGATGATATGGCATTCCTTTAGTCAAGGGCCACATCTTCTTCATCTTTACCTAGCTTGTCCTGGCTTATTGATGCTTAGAAAACTTGTTGCGTAAGTGAGTGATTTGAATATGTAAAAGATAGCAATTTCCTTTTAACTATATATTTTCTGTTTAAGGGAGTAATAATTAAAGTGAATAAATAACAAAGTAAGGTATAGAAATGAAAGATTTCTTCCCAACTCAGTAAATCAGGAAAACCTTTACGGAGGGAGATTCCTGGCAGAGAGGATAGCAAACAGGTAAATTTGAGGTCTATTCAGAGAATGGCGGCATCTGGTTCAGATGGTTCTCTTAAATAGGGCCAGTTCAGGCTGACAAGGAGATTGGAACCAAGTTCTAGAAGGCCTGGTTTCCAGGTCCTTTTCCCCGGCACCCTGTAGTCTAGTCCTGCTCTGTGGTCCATAATCTCTCAGCACACTAGCGTTCAGGCCTCTTAAGCGCTTCTCACTCTTTTTCCACAGTCTCCGGTGCTTCTTACCACCTGTTCGTCTAGTCTGTCCTGACTGTCCCAGTAAGAATTCATTGCAGCTTCTTTACTAATCCCTATCTTGTGCTTCTATTTCACAATTATTTCATTTTACTCTGTATGGCTACTTGTATATATGTCTCTCCAACTGCATTTTGACTTTTAGAGGGCAAAATCTGGGCTTTATCATTGTATCTGTCTCCTTAACCTTAAGGGCCCAGCTTAATGTTTTGCACATAGTCAATACTTGGAACATGTATGAAATTAAGTAATTGTACCGAAACTTGTATTTCTATTCCTTGGTAAAAATTAAATAAATACCAAAAACTACTAAAAGTAAAAGAATGCAAGGTTTCTTAGCTAATTCTTTGTTGTCCTGTTGTGTGTATGTATGTAATGACTTGTAATGGAGGACTACAATGTGCGGAGGCTACTGCTCATGTAGTGACTACTCAGTGGTGATGAAATCACAGGCTCACACTGAAATGGAATCATTGATATTCACATTAACTAGGATGTTTTTAAGTGATGGTTCAAACTCATCAGTGACTCCTTGGAAACTCTATACAGGGTCACTATAAGCCAGAACTGACTCCACAGCATCTAACAACAACAACAACAACATAGGAGTATATTTTTTAAAGTTTATCCTTATTTAAACATTAAGAATGCCCCAGCTATTTATAGTAGACTGACATTTCAAACACAGTCATATTGAGTTGTTGTTAAGTGCCATTGGGTTGATTCCGACCCATAGCAACCCTGTATAGGGTTTCCAAGGAGCAGCTGGTGAGCTTGAACCACCAACCTTGCAGTTCAAATGACTTTGCAGTCCAGCTCATTAACCCACAGCGCCATACCAGGACTTCAACTTGTTAAACGTGCAAAATGTTGATTTTGCCTCATAATAATTGAGTCATTGTAGGCAAATTACTTAAATTGTAAATCTGTTTTCCTATCTGTAAAATGGAAAAAGAATATTCTTGGACTTTGATTGGGAAAATGCAACAGAATAATGTAAAATACTAGTCCCATGCCAAACCCACTGCTATTGAACCAATTCTGATTCATAGCTACCCTATATAGGATTTTTGAGGACATCAGTCTTTACAAGCGGTTAGTGGATTTGAACTGCTGACCTTGTGGTTAGCAGTCCAGTATTATCCTATAGCGCCGCCAGGACTCCCGATACAGGAGTAAAAATTTGTGTAAGAAAGAATAATGTTTGCAAGGGGATATAAATGAATTGGATTAAGAAGGTTGGGATTATGAGCAGGTTGTTTTTTCCCTTGAAGATTTTTTTTTTTAAACGTACCATTGTTTCCATATTGACTTAAATTTTTTTTTTTTTTTTTTTTACAAATCTTTAGTACAAAAAGGGAGTCCTGGTGTGGCACTGTGGGTTAATGTGCCAGACTGCAAAGCCGTTTGAATTGCGATGTCGGCAGTTCAAGCTCACCAGTTGCTCCTTGGAAACCCTATACAGGGTCGCTTTGGGTCGGAACCGACTCAATGGTGCTTAACAACAACAACAGTACAAGAAAGTCTTGAGGAAAATCTTTATGTCCTTGATAGCTTAGAATAGGATGTTGTTGTTAAGTGCTGTTGAGTCAGTTCCGATTCATAGCAACCCTGTATAGGGTTTCCAAGGAGCAGCTGGTAAATTTCAACTGCCGACTTGGTGGTTCAAACCAACCTTGCAGTCCAGTGCTTTATCCTGTAGCACCACACCAAATAGCTATCATTAAAGCTAGTTTGGCATGAGATATGTACTAGTATTACTTAGGGTACACACACACACACATATACACTAGAGGCTTCACAAAGTTTATGAAAAAATTTAATTAGCTATTCATTCCATTTTCCATGAATTTTTGAAACCCCTTTATATACATTTGTTTAAGAAGTAAGAACATATACAGCAAAACACCCACCAATTCAGTAGTTTCTACAGGCTCAGTGACATTGATTACAATTTTTGATTTGTACAGCCATTCCTTCCCTCCCTATCAGAGGTGTTCCTCCCTCAGTAATCCAACTCATTGTCCCCTGAGGTTCCTGTCTGATCTTTCCAACCGCTGTTGTCCATTTGATCTCAAATAGATAGTTCTTTAAAAAAGCATAATGCTCAAGGCAGACCTGTTTTACTAGTTAAGCTAAACTGTGGCTTGCTTTTAAGATTTAAGGTTTTATCTAGGGGATATTTTGGGCTTAAGGTTCAAAGGTTATCTCAAAACTCGAGGACTATTTGTTTTTAATACGACTTCTCTTTATTTTAGAATTGATAGATGTCACATGCACCCTGCTGCTTCTAAACCCAGATTTTACCACTGCATGGAATGTGAGGTATGTCATTTTCATCAACGAGAAGATGAATTTTAAGGAAATTCCTGAAGATATAAGCCCCATGTGTTCTTTTGAAGAAATGAAATATAAACCGTACTTACATGGCCTCTTAAACTTTTCACAGTATCTCTATGATAGCTCTAACATACACGTTGCCTCTTTGGCATGTCTATAAAGTTCCTTGCCTGAAGTAGAACTTGTCATGTTGAATTTCAGTACACTATTTGATACCTGCTTGATGCTTCTTCCTGTTTGAGGAGATGAGGGCACTCAACACCATCACTTGCGTTGTGAAGCAGTGTTTGGTATATTTGAGAAGCACTGCATTGCAATGGAAAGTGTGTAGGATGAGGATTCAAGTACTTACTATCACGGAGACCTCTGTGGGACAAGTCATTTGCAATCTCTGAGACTTGGCTATTTTGGAGATGAGTCGCATTTTATCTGAATTTTGCACCTTTTATACTCAAAATACTTTATAGAAATATTAAAATTCATACCAGGTTTAATTTTTTTCACCAAAGTATTTTCAACTAAACAATATAATAGTATGTTGTTATTGTTGTTAAATGCTGTCGAGTTGCTTAAGTTGTTCCAGCTTATAGCAACCCTCGTGGCTTTAATGGTGAATTTACCAAACATTCAAAGAAGAACTGACACCAGTTTTACTCAGACTATTCCAGAACATAGAAAAGAATGGAAAACTCCTGAATACGTTTTATGAAGCAAGCATAACCCTAATACCAAAACAAGGCAAAGATAACACTGAAAAGAAAATTATAGATCAATGTCCCTCATGAACATAGATGCAAAAATTCTCAACAAAATCGTAGCTAATAGAATTCAACAGTATAAAAAAATATAGTAATATGCCAAGTGGGATTCATTCCAGGGATATAAGAATAGTTCAGTATTAGAAAAACAATCAGCATAATCCACAATGTAAATAAAACAAAGCAAAAGAACCACATGATCATATTGATTGATACAGAAAAGACATTTGACAAAATCCAACATCCATTCCTGATAAAAGCACTCAACAAAGTAGGAATTGAAGGGAAGCTCCTCAACATAATTCAGAGCATATATACAAATCCAACAGACAACATCATCCTCAATGAGCAGAAACTGAAAGTATTACCTTTGTGAACAGGAACCAGAAAAGGATA